AACTGGGATCATTTCTACTTCCCTTTTCTCCCATACCCATGAAGATAATAAAACCAGGTGTGTTTTTTTTTTTCCCAGACTTCTTTAGCAATAACACTGTTTTCAAATACAGTCTTACAAGGAACCAAATACATTCAACAGTTTTAGAAAATGGCTTGTTTCTTGTACAGTTCTATTTTCATTTTTTATGGAAAATTATAAACTCTTAAAGTGCCCACTTATAGTCCTGAGGAGCACAGTTTAAAAACAAATTGTTATACCCTATTTTCAAATTTTACTTGTAACCTAGTTTTAAATTTTACTTGTTAGCCTAATTTTAGTATGTTAATATTTTTCGTTTGTTTTCTTAATATTGCTATTCATAGTCTGTGGGAAACTGAGACATTTTGAAACTTGAGTCCTCTGAGAAAGCTTCCCTAGTCAATTTTAAGGTAGTTAAAGCACATTCTGCTCAGTGCTATCCTCTGCAGTATTTAAGTAGCTCCACCATCATATATTTATCACTGGATGAAAACATATTTGTTCAACTATCCTTGTTTATAAACTGTGAAAGATCTTACAAATTGTGAATGATTCTATTCCTAGAGTCCAGCACAAAATAGGCAGATAACCACTACTTATTGAGTACTTGTCAGACACTGAGTCCAGCACTGCATGTAAAATATCTTATTTCATCTTCAATCTTATGAAATAGATTTAACACCACCATTTTACTGATGAGCAGGGAGAGGTAAAAAGTGGTTAAGTGCTTAATAAGTGGTAGAGAGAATTCAAACCCATTTCAATCTTGAGTTCAAAACCTGTGCTAAACACTATATTATTGTGCATGTACCACAGTTTGAATAAATGTTTAAAAAAATGAATGAATGCATGATCTAATTAACATGAGTTTGAAAACAGTCCAAATACTTTTGACTCGCCCTGACTGTTGATAGGTTTAGGCAGTAAGTCTAGCAATAATTGACTTGGGAAAAACAGATCTCCTCCTATCACATATCCATCCCTTGTATAATTTTTTAAAAATTATTGGTATTATTTAGCTTCCCAGATTTGTGCTAAAGCACTAAAACTCCTTTTCCTTGAGTACAGCAGGAGAGTCTACTTACCTTTTCTGTAAGAATATTTATATAACACTCTTGTAGAGTATTATGAAATCTGCCTATTTTGTTTGCCTGTAGCATAGAAGTGGCCATTCTTCATCTTCAATTTAATAATACTGAGTATGAATGTTACTAAAGTACTGTGCTGGAGGTAATACTGACTAATGGTTAGTATCCCAGATTCTTCAGTGAGACTTCCTGGATTCAAACTTTGGGCAGTTTGCTTAACCTCTCTGTGCCATAATTTCACCATCTCTAATATGGGGATAATAATGAAGTTTTGTAAGGATTCAATAATTAAATGCAGCAAACGGCCAAGAGTCACTGGCACATACTAAACATAAAATAAATATTAGTTGTTATTCTTTGTATTGTTTACATTGCACTTTTCCCTATGTTTGTTCAGTATCTCTCTGTATATATTTTAAATTACACTTGTTTAGTTGTGTAGTTAAAGCTTCCTATATCTTGTCTAGTTTATGAATAAATAGGTCTGACTATTTACTATACTACCATATTTACCTCTTATAGTCTAACAAGATAGTTTTGTTTCTGCATGCCAAGAGATGACTTATTTAATTATTTAATCAATTTATCGAGATCCTACTATGTTTCAAGGACTATGCTAGGCACTGGGGATATAGTCATGAGGAAAACAGGTAGGCATTCTACTCTCCAGCTGCTTAGAGTAGTGATCTCAAACATTTTTAAATTTCACACCTCTATCAATAAACATTTTTGAGTATGCACCCAATAAACAGGAAACCTTGGTGGCATAATGGTTAAGTGATGTGGCTGCTAACTAAAAGGTTGGCAGTTCGAATCCATGAGCGCTCCTTGGAAACTCTATGGGGCAGTTCTACTCTGTCCTATAGGGTCGCTCTGAGTTGGAATCGACTTGACGGCAGCGGGTTTCATTTGGGTTTTACCCAATAGATATTTATAAGTGATAGGCATGTCTCTTTGCTAGTGTATTGTATAGATTTTAAAATAAACTTAAAAATTAAAATAGAAATAAGAGCTCTGATATTCTCTTCCCCACCCACTTTGGAGACCACTGGCTTAGAATATCAAGGGAAAGACAAAGAAACAAACAAGAGTACGTATGTAAAGGAAGAGTTCTCTGTGTTAGGAGTGTGATTCCATCAGGAGGGCCAGAGAAGGGTTGCCTAAGGAAGCAACATTTAAAATGAGATCTGAAAGGAGGTGTTTGTGGTTCCCTAGGCAAAAGGACTGAAAGTGCAGTCTTCCAAAAATAGTGTTTGTATGCAAAACATAGTATGTTCGAGAAACTGAAAGGATATCAGTATGGCTGAAGAGGCAATGTAGTATACAATTTTGGAGAGGTAGAGGGGGCACCAGATCATACAAATCTTATATATCACGTTAAGGAATTAAGTCTTATTCCTAAGAGTCAAGGGGAGGTCTTGAGGAGTTTAAAGAGAAGAGACGTGCTCAGATAATCACCTTTCTAGTTCATTTTGGATGACATTTTTCTTCCTGATGTGTTACTGCTACAAATAGACCTGAAATTTTGCAGGTAAACAGAGAGTTTAAAGAAAAAGATTTATGCAGCAAATTTTTGCTTAGCACCCTAAAAGTAATCTTATAGTAATCATGCTGTGAGATTTTGCAACAATAATTAGAAGCATATTATAAAAAGGAAAAGTAAGACAAGGGCAAATTAAAATTGAAAATGTTTCTCTTATTTTCAAGCAGCCTTAAATATGAAACCTATAAAATAAATCAGTACCACTTACACTTACAGTCTACTCTTTCTTCAGCTTTTAGTGGTTAGCCCTTACTTTGTGAGCATCTTACTCTGATTCTTTTAACTCTGTAATCAAAAAAGAATTCAGAGTATAACGTCAGTAATGATAGCAACAGCAGCAATAATGATAGGAACAACAATAACAGCTCACATCATGGCATGGTTCTGAGCACATTACATGTGTTATCTAATTTAGTCCTCACTGACTCTAGGAGATAGGTACTATTAATAACCTATTTTTATAGACAAGGAACTGGTACGTGATAGCCAGTCCGACTAGAAGCTCATCTACTGTGCTATGCTTTGTCTCTTGAGCTATTCCATAAGGCAGTGATTAATAGTATAAAATAAGAACCAGAATCACTGGCTCATGGGAAAGAGTTAATTGCTTGCCCTTTTTGATTAAAAGGAAATCAAGGCTTAAAACCCTTTTTAGGTTGAGTAGCAGAAGTTAGTACTAAATGACATCTCTTTATGCATTTACGAAAAAAGAAAGATATATATACCTGTTGTACATAGGATACACAGGTATGCGTAAGATGTGAGAATAATACAAAACTATTCAAAGTATAATTTCTGCTTCCTGGAACCTACACCTCTTCATATAATTATTAATTCAAGAAAGTGATAAAATAGAAAATGAGTGGATGGGAGATAAGAGATACAGAAATTCAAAAATAGAAAAGATTACTGTTATATTGCCATAAAGAACATGAAATCTGAGCTTGGTCTTAAGAGATGGCACCAGTTCTATTCGAAATGAGAGTGAGGTACCTTATAACCCATTAGGAAGTGACTGCATGAGCAAATGCATCAAGGCAGAACTGTGAAAGGCAATCTGAAATAATGAGTAGACTAAGTAAAGAAAACTGAATTCTGGAATGCATTAGGATTTGGGTTTGGGAAGATGTGATTATAGCCTGAATATAAGTGCACTTTGATTGCTTAACTAAGGAGTCTCAGATTAATCCCAAGAAATGGAAGAAGTAGTGAAAGTCTTTTTAGCAGTAATAAAAATGTTCTTCTAAGAAAAATAGTATGACAATGTAGGCAGCAATGGAAGCGACAGACTTCAGTTAGAGGTCTTAATTAGGAAATGGTTTTAATCATCAAGACATGAGGTAATAAGTAGAATTGAAGCAACCATCTTGAAATGGAGCTGAAGAAATATATTTGATGTATATCCCAAAGGAAGAGCTGATAGAATTTCTTTTCTGATTAATCATAGAGTTTAATACTTGTACTGCCAAGAATAAATGAAATTTTATTTATTGTTTTTGAAAACTTGGAAGTGGTTTTTTTTGTCTGGTTTTTTACTTGATTTTTACATTATACCTAAGCTGCACCAGAATTATGAAATGTGATCATCTATCTTTGTATTATTTAAATTCAAAAACAGCTTATGATACTTTGTTTAAGCTACAGTGAAAACCCACCGGGCATAAATGAGATCAAGTCAGACCCAGCTCAGCATATGGTACTTCATCAATGGCTGGCATTGAAGTTCTCTTTGTATAGTTGTTGAATTATTGCCACTCTTAGCAGGTGTTGCAATGAAATGTGCACTATAATGTTGTTCCGGTAAAAATGTATTCTGTACTACAATGGAAACTTTTGAAAAACCTCTAGTTTACTGTAAAAAAACAAAAAAAAAAAACAGGCTTTATAAGTTTAAAACTACTTTCTCATAACGTTGTCTTTATAATATTGTCTTCTGCTATATGTTGAAACAATTCACAGAAGCAGTTTCTGAATACTTTATAATATATAATCTTTTAAATGTTCACAAAAATATTACTACGTTTTGATCACATCGAACTTGTGCCATATACCCAGAAAGAATTAGAAAATAGAGTTGAAATTAAACAATCTACAGTGAAACCTGTGAGAGCAGAACTCGATGGGACTGCCTTTTTTTTCCAGGTCTCAAAAGTTTTCCACCTTTGACAGGGTGCAGTCTTACGACTTTTCTATCACTTGGTTTAGTGGAAAATAGTTTTCCTTCTCTGCAGGTTTACACCTTACACAGGTTTCAGTTTCTGCTACTTTTGCTGTATAATTTATATTGGAAAAACTAAGTAATTAAAAATTATTTAAATAATTAAAAATAAATTAATTTTATTTTACAGTGATCGGCATGTTGGTAAAATTTATTCCAAATCCTCTTCCTTTCTGGATTATGTCAGAAAGTCTCTAAAGAAGCTTGGATTAGATGAGTCCAAGGTTAGTATATGATGACTTATTGTTTTCATGAAAGACAGCATAACTTCTGTGGGGTAATGAAGTGATATAGAACAAAATAATTTGCCTTATACTTTTCTCCCATTTCTTTTCTTTTTTTAATTGTACTTTAGATTAAGGTTCACAGAGCAAGTAGTTTCTCATAACACAGTCAGTAAACATATTGTCTTATGACATTGGATAACAACCCCACAACATGTCAACACTCTCCCTTCTCAACCTTGGAGGACATTTTTTTTT